TTAAAGCTCATGACCCTCAAGATTGGAAGACGATGAATATGAGCGTGCAAAAAGACTTCTATTCTGAGAAGAAAGGTGATTGTCTGAAGACGTGCGTTGACGACAACAAGTGCGTGGCGGCGGGAATTCACAACGGCACTACTGGAGTGAGTTTCTGTTCACACTTTAAACGAGAAATAGAGTGGTCATTTTTGAAGGTTTCATGGGATAGCTTAGGAGTGGCGGCGCGGACGTGAGCGCCTGCGGGGTCAAACAGGGGCTGGCGCCAGGGTCAACCCCCGTTGCGCAAAAAACAATGAGGGGGTCGTATTTGGCCAATGGAAGAGGAGGGGGTCGTAACCTCAAGTACCATTCACAAAATTAGAAGCTGCCAAGGCGTGGCTAAGTGGCAAAGGAGGACAGACTTTCAACTGCCACTGCGACTACGCACCACAGACGATTGAATGGCGCATCCTAGAGCGAGATTTCCCCCTCCTACTAAAATATGTCATATTCCAGCGAGCACAAGCGAAAAAATCTTCCAAACAAATCAATGTGGAGGAAGGTGCAGCGGATTCAGCTGTTACCCTAATCTTTTTTGTTAGTGCACGTTCGTGCTATTCTGAGGATTTCACAGAACATATTGTATTATGTTTATTGCACGAAATATTTGTAGTTGAGTTGGGAAACCGTTTAATGGAGAAATTAAAATGATCTGTTTTGTTATACATCTTTGTATATATTTTATTTATTTCAATATTAATTTCTAAATCTAATAATTACACTTATATTCGTTGTTATGTGTAACTTCCAATTCTAAAATATTTTCATATATGCATTAAAGGAGGAATTCACGATTAGAATGAAGGTCGAAGAAAGGGAAACTGACCTAGTTGAGGGACCCACGGACCTCCTGAGGGTGCGAACTGACGCGCAATTCGCATGGAAAAATTTGACCTCGGCGACCTATCATGCCTCAAAGCTGGCGGGTCCGGCGATCTCCGCCCACCGATCATCTGATCACTCGCCGTAGTTCAATACGTGGCGAGCTTAGATAGCTGAGAGAGCGTTGGTTGAAATGCAAAGCGCTGATAGTCGATGCAATGCTTAAATCAACCGCGGGAAAAAGGGTGTACTATTCTCGTTTGGCCGTTTCTCATAGATCGCCTCTCGGTGATGCCACTCCATTCCTGGTTAATTTGAAATGGGTTACTTTCATGGAATCGTTCTTTAAGCTATTAGAATAGTCTGTGTATCTGTATTGTGTATAATTAGAATATCGTCCATATATCTGAATGGTTTTAGTTGTAGGTATCGTGTGTGGGACTCCGGGGTTGCACGCGGTATGTCGCGCGGCAACCTGCGCGGCGATTTGGCCAACTTCGTTATTTGTCATTGGGGCGACAAGGGTTGTCATTGGGGTGCACTTCACATTATTTGTTACTTGATTCGTTGTTCTGTAGCCTAACAAGTTATAAGCTGCGCTGCGTGTTTCAGGAATAGATCCTTGATTCGATTACTCGTTTTTGAGAAGCTCGCTTTCGTGTAATTCATTCAGTTTTGCTCTGAAAGCTGTCTCTTCATATTATTATTATCACACCCCGATTAAGACCTGTATTTGTTGGGATAACATTTCCATTTCGATTAATCTCTATGCGTGCATCACCAATCATTCACTAGAATCTAGCACTGGAATTCTAGCAAAAACGTCTAATAAAAAGCCAGGCTACGCAACGTGCCAACAACCGACGCGAGATACGGTGGATGTCGCGCTCGAATCGCGGCGGAATTCGCGCAATTTGCCGCGTGCAACCCCGGACGCACCAAAAGTCCGTCGTTCCATCGTGTGTTGTTATGATTAAGTGAGTAGATGTATTTAAAATATGATAATGTAAGATCAGCTAACAAAGGGCTAACATTACTTCCTTGTGGTACTCCAGTTTTCTGTATAAGCAAAAATTCTGAAAATTTACAGTAAGCTGTTTTTCAAGAAGGTAATCCAAAAGGTAAACTATATCTGCGATTGTGTAATAGTTGTAATTTTCGTAAGTTGTTTTATCAGTATAGAAAATTTTTTACCATTATGTGCAATATATTTTTTGTTGCTATTTTTATAACATATTTTCAATATTTCTTCAAAAAAGTGGCAGGAGAAGGGTTTCCCTATGGAAGGGGAAGGGTTTTCCTTTCAAGACAACTTTGCATACGCAATATAGTACTGATCTCTCTGATTTCAGTGGTCTTTACCGCTTTTCAATGTACCCACATTGGAAAAACTTATGGCCCTTTGAAGATTGAAAATTCGGGTTTCAAGAAAATGACATAAAAAGACGCGATGATTTTTCGAAAAAGTGATCATTTAGAAAAATCTTGGTATTTTTTCAAAAGAGTCAATCTTCTAGCTTCTAAAGGCTTTGAAAATCTGCAATTTTGATAAAGTTATTTAATTATTACTACCATGCCCAAGTCTATGCAAAAATTTGAAACTGCTTCTATTTAATGAGTAAAACTTCATGTTGCCTCGATCCCGTCCTCTGAGCGAGACAAAGCGCGCGGACTTACCACGGTCCACCACCTCTCCATGTCGGTGACGGCCCATACACCGATGATGGGCTAAAATATGTAAAAACACAATAGCTAATACAGGGGGTCGTACTGATACCCTTTGAAGGGGAGGGAGTCGTAAAATTTTGAAATCTGCGCAACGCACGGTTGACCCTGTGCTGGCGGATGGAGATGTGGATTGCTGGGCGAGCGGACGCCTAGAGAATTTCCCCCGAGCATTCAACCGCAAGGAGAGCACGACATCAACGCTTGTCCGCCTGCCTACTACGATCAGGAAATGGAAAAGGTGAACATGCCTATCCCGGAACGTGCCTTCAACTACCCTCTGCACTGAAGTGGTTGTCTCTAGTTCGACCACACAGAACATTCAAGAACTGCATATCTTTGCCGATTTTTCCAGTTTTTGACTGTGGAGCCACTGTAAACACTAAAAAATTGGACGCTTAAACCTCCTGTAAGAGTTCGACGGCGAGACACAACGCATCGAGGAGAAGCAAAGCGCAGAGCTCACCGTAAGAGAAGGAAAGAAAGTAACCGCTGCATGCCGATTGACTCGGATTGCTCAGAACCACACCGCGATCACTGGCAAAGCCGTGGCGCCCTTATAGGCCCCCAACAGAATAAGTCAAATTTTATAAGCTATACCTCGAATTAGTTTTCGTCCCCTCACAGAGGTCTTGTCGTCGCAAGTGGAAGGGAGCACTGCGGAAAGAGTAAATCTTACGCAGGGATGAGAGGTTCCGGCGGTTGTCGGAAGACATACAAGACTGGCCAAAAAAGACACCTGACTCCACATTCAAATCAACATTAATCACGCGTTGCTAACTCTAACTGAGTGGTACCAACTGAAAATCGAAGTGCACATTCCACTCAATCGATGAACTTCATAATAGCGCATTGACACTGCCAATAACGGAAGAATTTACTATAGAAACAATGTGCACGATTACTACTCCACAAAATCCTCGACATACCGTGTACCACTGCGACGTTATCCTTAAGGTTGGTCAGAAGCGGACCTGCAAAGTCAGAGCTACTGTCTCTGGGAAGCTATTCACCTGGTAATCGGTTGAAGAAATTATGTAGCAGCTTCAGGCTGGAGCGATTACGGTATGCTTCCTCCACTTCGACGGTGATAGCAGATGTCGTTTTCTGAGAAGGGTGAATGAAGGAGGGCCTGCTCTGACCTGTGGGGACATATAAGAACGATATTTCCGTTAATCTTCCATCGAAGTGTTGAAGTTTGCTGATATGGGGTGTTTCCAGGCGAGGTGTTTCCTTTTCCACCCTGTATACAGATAGTGGAATCGTTCTGGAGTTTTGAAGTGAATCAAGATGAAGAGTTTTTGTGTGTGCAAACACAAGGATGTCCCAGCTAATATCCAGAATTCTAAAGAAGTCATGTTGAGGGAGGAATCTTGTCGCACTTTCTAGATCACCTCTAGAATCTCTAGATCTCTTTTGTTACTCTTTTCCTTACGTTCTCTATCGATTTTGATTCACATAGTCTATTTCTCTTCTCCACCCAAAGAGAAAAGAGTTCACCACAATGCTCAACGCCTTCATTCCATCCTCAACAAAAAACAATACTGAATGGCTTTTTACATGTAACCTAAATCACTATCAACTCCTTCCACTCAAACACCCTGATGCGACACTCGTTGAATAGTGGCGAAGGCACGGTTGATCCTCAGCCGCCATGGCTGCGTAGTCCAAGGCTGTTTGGCCTGACGTAGGTCAGCGGCCGAGTAAGCGGTGGTAACCAGGGCTGGCTAAGGCTTTGGTGTTTGTCCGAGCGGGAAGTGGCAAAACGACGCCAGCGTAAGTCCCGACTCGCGACATGACTCACTCTAACAGCTGCATCCCGCGACTGCTTCTGACTTGGTGAGAGCAAGGCGTTCATGCCGGTGTGACACTTGTGTTACTTGCTCTGAGATCATTACTGGCACGTGTTAACGGTTTTTCAATAAATAATTACAAGCCTACTTTTGTTGCAAACCGATTCCTCATCAAAAACGACGTTCAATGTAGGGTACTCTAACCTGGCGATTACTCAGGCAATCTCATATACGTTACTATGAAAATGTTGGAAATTGTTTGTCAATTTATTACATGTCAATGTGACAATCATGGCGATTACTGTAGACATAGATGGAAATCATATTTATGAGCTATTTATTGTAGCTCTTTCAGGTAATGTGGAACTCATATGGGATATGTATATGTATACTGGGTTGAGAAGTAGAGGAGAGTGGGTGCATAGCAAGAAATAACTGAGCCGGTGCCGCATTGTAGTTTTTGACGAGATGTCGTGCAGTGACCTCTTGCTGAACACCCAAAGAGAGCAAGGCTTCAGATTTGAAAAAGGGGGGGGGGCATGACATCAAAGAGATATTTTTCACTTCTGTTTAGATTCGTTAGAGCTTTCGGGTGGCTTTGTTCAGAATTCTGCTCACGCTCTCCACGTGTTCCATTTCGCTGGTTAGATCAGCCTGCCGAGCTTCGATGTCCGTAAGAAGATTCTTTGTCTGCAATGGACGGACAAATTACAGCACAATCGCTACTAGTTGAAGATGTACAAAACATGCAACATGCATGCATGCAATGTCGAAAAGCCTGTGTTCTATTTCCCATTGAAATGCTCTAATCCCGCTCGTTAGGCCGATGTCAGACTTTGCGAATCGCGCGATTCGCTACTAGCGATTCGCGCGATTCGCTAGCGTCCGCGGTCGCGTTGCGGTACCAGCCAATTGAGTGATTCACTGGCCGCGACGCGACCGCAGACGCTAGCGAATCGCGCGATTCGCAAAGTCTGACATCGGCCTATAGAGGTGCATTTGAAACGCCCACTGTCTCGAAACTGAATTCTTCAAACTGTGTGTCGCGTGCCGAATCAAGTCCCACGCTATCTCATGCGGACCAAATCAGGAAGACTCGCTCACATTTGTTAATTCCATTTCAAGCCGTTCCACAAAGTTGCATAATGGTGTCATAAGCATTAGTATAGCCGTCCGATTCACAGTCTGAAAAAATAAAATAAATTAAGATAAAATAAAATATTAAACTGTCTCTGGCGACAAAACGCTGCGCTCCATTTTAGCTCAGAGTCTTTGTATCTTATAGTAAAATTTCGGATAAGCTATGTCCCAGTGTAGCTGTTGCTTGTACTGAGCGATCCGCGATATTTCCCCAGTAAAAGGAGCTGTTGGATTCCCAAACGTTATTTTGTTATTACTTCCATTCGGTGCTAACTTAGTTGAGGGGAGGGGGGCACGCACGCAGCGCGGCGCTTCCGTTCGTCTGTTCCTCAAAGGCATAGTCCAAGGGGCAGTTACTATTTCGTCGCCATCTGACAGTTCTGGGGCGTATATCAATCCTTCCCCCAGGGGATATATCCCCCTACTCTGATTCAATCCTCTGGGGGACAAAAAAGGGTTGCGTCATAGGACCTAGCATACCTCTGTGTTTCTACCTGCCAGACAGTTAGAGCAGCGCGACCCCTCAGGGAAAGTGCTTCATCAGTGGAGGGTAGTAGCGCTGCTCTAACTGTCTGGCAGGTAGAAACACAGAGGTATGCTAGGTCCTATGACGCAACCCTTTTTTGTCCCCCCAGAGGATTGAATCAGAGGAGGGGGATATATCCCCCTGGGGGAAGGATTGAATACCGCCCTGAAATACGCGCCATCGGCGGACTATGCCTTGGAGGAGCGGCGAACACAGAGCCCGCCGCGCGTGTACACCACTGAGTGCACCCACCTCCCATTTTCGTTATTTTGTTATTTATTTCCATTTTCGTCACTTTTAATATTTTGCAGGGTGAAAGAAGTTCTGGCCCCGCATTAGGGTACCCCATGCATCGCCCCCCTCCTCACCGTGATAGTGTTGCATCTCTATCGTTTGCTATGCTCTCTCGTATCTGGTTCTGTTATTATCTCTTCTCCCCGTGCCTAGTATTCCCTAGCTGCCCACTGTTACGGGAACATGTGTCCGAGAAGCTCTTACTGCGTGAGCCGAGCGATGGTCTACGGCAGCTTTTAACTTGCGCATTTTTACCGTAGTCAAGAAGAAGGAAGGATTCGCAACATGAGAACTAGTAGTTTAGGTGAATGGTCAACTCTACTTACTCCTTTCTCGATCAATTTTATGTGAGCTTCCATTTCCTTCATAAGGTACCTTTCTTCAGCTTCTCGCACTGCCCGCACATCGTCGTTAACCTGAAATACCATAGTTGAAGCGACAGATCTCTACAAAGAGAAAATCAAAAGTGAGTTATCTACGGCATTACTGTACTTGTTGAGACTGTTCTGCAGACAGCCCTCAGCGTTTCCTCCTATCTAGTTGCCCCTTTTAGAGGAGACTAGGGTGTGAGAGCATTCTCATTTCCCCCCGATTGCTCATGTCTTAAGGCGTGGGAAGGGTGGGGGGGGGGGGGGGGGGGGGGAGGGGGAGGGGAGTCAATCCACTTTCGTTTTCCCTGGCAATTTCGCGTCCCCGGCCCCCTCTCTTAGGCTTAGTCCTAGTGTTACCTACAGCTGTTTAATACCCTGTTCTGAACGTTCCCACTGTGTGACCGTGAGCGCCTTCCCAGATGTTCATCCTTTCCTTCAGGCTCAGTCCGCATAGCGATGCCCCTCCCCCAAGCACTTGGCGCCTTAAAGTAACAGTCCCAGCAGGGTGGGCGTGGTCGGAAACGACTGCAATCCCCTCGGCCGATTCCGACCACGCCCACTTCAGCTCCCTCCCTAGCGGCTTTCCAAGGTGAGTTTTTGTTCAGTCACACTTCTTACGTTCTTGACTAGGGGCTGAACAGCTCCGAAGTGGGAATCGGCCGAAGGGATTGCAGCCGTTTCCGACCACGCCCCCCAATACCGCACCACAACAAAGCCACTCGCAGGGGCACTACGAGAGCTTGACGTATGCACAGGACTAAAACCTCTCTTATGACCGGTGATAGATCTCTCACATTTCGATCTTTGCCCACCATCAGAAACTGCCGCCGCACGTTAATCAGCTTCTACGAACGAACCAGAGAGACTTCGCATAGTAGCTGCAGACTCAACAGCACACGTGGAGACGACTTAGAAAACCGATGTCTTCTGTGTCATCTGATGCGCATGATGTCATCTGATGTTCATGGCAATCATTAAATGAGGGGAGGCATTCAAAACAGGGCATTAAAAACCGCTGGTAGGTGACACTAGGACCAAACACGAGAGAGAGGAGGAACGCCAGGAAAACAAAGGTTGCTGACATGCTCTCCGCAACCCCTTCGCCTTCCTTAAAGGAATCTTGCGCGGAAAATTCTTGCACTCTTTCCTAACATGAATATGTCAGTTGTGATCACTGGAAATAGCACACAAAGTTTCACGCATGAAGATTCGGTTTCTGAAGAGAAACAAACGTACAAAAACTACACGTTATGGACCATCGAAGGACCAGGAGGCAGAGCCAGGCGAGGCATGGAAAGAAGACGGCGTTTGGCCGGCTACGTACCAGGCGACGCAATGAGAGAATCGGGTTAAAGCGCGCGATTTCGGAGAGTGGAGACAAATCGATCGATGGAATAGGATGGAGTAGAAGTGTAAGATGTGAATGCAACGAAGCAGAAGGCCAGAAAGAGCTTCTAGTGAATGCACTCCAAGAACCAAGTTTGAGCATCCCCGTCGCCAGCATTCGTGAAAGACGTCCGTGGGCAAGTAGCAGCCTTTTCGAGTTTTCGAATTTCTAATCAAAACGAAAGCAATACTTCAGTTCTTTTCACTATTATCGTGGATAATGAGTCTCAAGCCAGTGATTTATGGCTGAAATAGAATCATGATTTTTCCGCGCAAGATTCCTTTAAGCCAGACAAAAGTATTGTGAGAAGCTCACTCACGTTAATGTCCCCACTCTCTCCCCCACCCCGTTCGCTCCCCACCCACTTTCCCTAACGACATGAGGCGCCTACTATTTTAACTGCTACATCTACAATTTCATCTCGTCGGAGGGGGTGGAGTGGGAGTGGTTGACAGAATATGTATGGGCATTTGATCTTCACATCTTTGTTCGCGAAATAATCAGTATCTATCTTTCTATTGTAGTGCTTCTAGCGATTACAGCAATTTGAACTTTCGGATCTTCCTGTATTCGTAACAATTAACGCACGCAAACCCAAAGCTTTCGGAGTTTGAGCGAATTACGGTAGGACGATGTGGATACGCGCTTGTCTGTACTGCTTAGTAGAGGCTGTTGTTACATAGCTGTTTGCCCAAACATTCACTCAAACCGTAAAAATTAGTCAATGGCCTAGCCACATCATCAATTATTCGACACTCACCACGACAAAGGATTTGTTTTGTTTCGATTCCCCAATTAGAGACAAACCGTTGATCTGGCGATCGGCTATTTCTAAACACAGCACTCTGTATGTTTCGTCCTTATCATTAGTTGGCATGGCGCTCATGTCCTTGGGGGGGGGGACATCGACAACAAGGCCGATGTCAGGTGACACTGGGACTAAGCCCAGGAGACGGGAGAAACGCCAGGGAGCACACATATTGCTTGCATCTTCCCACAGAATCCCTTTCCCTGTCTAAGGCACAGTCCCAAGCACAGTAACTGGCTTACTCACTGGGATCCCCCCCCCCCAAGGACATGAGCACCGTTGGCATTATCTCCACAGTCTAGGCAGCGTGCAGAGTTGACGATCGCACATGCATTTGGGTGACTAGGCGATCACTCGATGATTCGAAAAGGAAGCATACATATCGATTAAGGAGTAGGCGAAAAGAATGAGAAAAGGTCAAGTATTGATTTGTGGTTCCGCCCACTGAGCGATCGCCTACTCGTTACTAAGCCTGCACGCCCACGCACCTAATCGCCTGATCGATACGTATCCTTGTCCGTGTACCCG